GGATTACATATAGGCAGACGCGGTACATTTACAGGTAGTGCCTTTGCACTTGATAACGGCGCGGTATTTAATAACGAACGCGGTATCGTTACATCGACGTATTACACGGGCTCGGTATATTACATAGCCGTATTACATATAGACGGACGCGGTATAATGCCTGGATGCTCGCGGATGTCGCGGTATCGCGATGGTATGCGTGCGGGAACGCGTAGCGTAGTATGGAAGATTTCCGGAGCCCCGGGGCGGCGGCAGCGAGAGCCCTCGTTGCGAGGCCGAGCGCGCTCGACCCCGCGTAACCGTGCCTTCGGGGTTAAGTTTGAAGGAGTGCGAGAACACCTGAGAGCCCTCAGTCGAGGCTCGGAGCACCGGACCTCGTTTTGTGTGTTCCCTGGGAGTCGGGATAGGTTTCGTCTGAAAGAAGCGGAGCTTTTTGACGAAGTGTCTTTTTCTCGCCGAAACGGCGGTTTATATACCCGGCCGGCGCGGCGGGTTCGCTAGGAGCGCCGATCGTCGCGCTGTGGTGGGGCGGCGCGGCGCCGCGCTTGTCCTCGGGGCGGCTCGGCTCCCGTCGTCGCTCGTCGGGAGGCACCGGTGCCGCGCTTGGCCCGCGCACACGGTGCGTTTTGAGTTCGTTTGAAAATGTGGGCGCACCGCGCCCTGGTCTTCGCCCGACTGGTCGTCGGTCGGGCGGCATCCGGCGGTCGTTTGCCGGGAACGATGTTTAGCGCACGGGGTGCATCGTTACAAGGCAAAGGCAGAATGCAACTCCCTGCGAAGGGAGTTGGCGGAACGGGAAAAAGAGTTGGTAAGGGCTAGAGAAAATTCTTTATCACACAAGGTGGAGACTCGGAAGGCCGCAACTCAAATCCGGGTACATTCCCGGCTGAGGGGCAAAATTCTCGAGGCAAACATGGGGGAATGTACGCCTATGGAGGTGGAAGGAGAGAGCCAACCGATGGAAACCCGGTACGTGGCCACTCAGGCTGCGCCCAGGGTTAAACATAGAGAGTGTAATGCTCTGGAATGCGGAGTAAGCAGCGGTCTGGGGGTTGATACAGGGCTGGGCTTCCGTGTTGACGCACTTGATCGCAAGATGGAGGTGATAGCGAGGGAGATACGCTCTCTTGTAGGTCAATTGAGAAGCGCTCCTTCGGCTTGCGATGCCGGTGATGAGGGTGCTCGCAGAAGAAAAGAAGCCCCCAGTGCGGTGCCTTCCCCTTCGGCTGGTGGGCTGGGGGAGCTGGGTACAGATAGGGGAGTAAGCGGGTGGGTGCCGCGACCCCTGCGCCCGTAACCGCCAGACGAGAGCTTGGTCGGGGAGGAGTAAGGGGGCGGGGCGAGTCCGTTCCGCCGGGGGAAGGAAGAGAAGAGCTAAGGCTGCGGGGCCGTCCCCGCCCGGCACAGCGGCGGTTACTGTAACCGTCCCCCGGGACGGGGAAGCTTCGTACGCCGAAGTCTTGAGGACGGCGAGGGAGGGAGTCTCCCTTGCTGCCCTGGGGATTGAGGACATGCATTGTCGTAGGCCGGTCACTGGGGGCCTCGTGTTGGAGGTCCCCGGTGAGGGCGCAAAAAGGAAGGCGGACGCCCTGGCGCTGCGCCTAAGTGCAGTACTTGAGGGGTCAGGAGTGAGGGTCGCCAGACCCTGCAAGAGCGTGGAGCTGCGCTTGCGGGGACTGGACGACTCAATCACACGGGAGAAAATAGCGGCCGCCATCACCGCAGTTGGCAGCTGCAATGTGGGGGACGTGAGGGTCGGGGAGATTGTTACTTAATAGGCACGGGTATAATTAAATTCGTGAAATACATATAGAAAATGCCACATTTATTACTTAGCTCTTACTTCGACGGCGCGCGTTGTGCTACTGCCGCGAAACCTCTCGCAACCGGCGATCACGCCACCCGAAAAAACATAAGAATATCGCGTCGAACAAAAGGATGCTCGCTCAACGCTCGACCGTAATCCAACATCCTCCCACCATTGAGATGGCCAAGCATCTGTCATCTCAATACATACATGACACGGTATAATATAAAAAAATATCATAATACAAGAAAAGAATACATAAATTAAAATACAAAACTGTCAATTTAAATTATGAGAACAACAAAAAACTTAAGTATAAGACAGCCGTTCTGGAAGTTTAATTTTCCTGCCACTTCTCGTTACGTACGATTCATCATCGCAACTGCGCATATCATATGCTCCACTAATATCTGGAGCACAACTCTCAGATTCCTTGAATCTCCTAGTATCTTTATATTTGTCCGCAATAATTTCGTCCACCTTGGATTCACTCTTCTCATATCTAAGCTCTAATGGATAAAGTCTTTGAATCGGCCGAACTAACTCACCTTTAGCAGTAGTCAATCGAGAGACTCTAACAATATTATCTTTACCTGTGATTAATTCCTTGACGCGTGCCAGAGGCCAATCCAAACGTTTTACATTTTCATTTTTGACTAAAACGATGTCGCCGACTTTGATATCATGTACATTTTTCGTATTAGACTTTTGATGAATCAATGCACCTAAATATTCGGTTCAAAATCTTTGGCGTAAATGTTCCTTGATTTTCTGACGATACAAGTACCTCTTGGATAAATCGCATTTCTCTATCTTGTCTAAATCTAATACTCCGATTTCTTTTATCTCTTGCAAAAACATAGACGGAGTTATAGGCAATATATCCTGTTTGGTTTCGGAAAGGAAAGTAATTGGTCTGGAATTAATCACAGCCTCGCAATCTAGCAAAACCGTTAACATCTTTTCATAATCAAGGCAAGATCTTTTAAGCGTTCGTCGCAGTAATCGCTTCAAAACTCCATTCAATCGCTCCCAAAATCCGCTCCACCACGCTGCAGTAAGAGGATTGAATATCCATTGAATTCGATCGGTGGCTAACGTTCGAAACAACTTTTCAAAATCCAGAAGCTTAAACATATTATTTAATCCGACAAAATTTGTGCCATTATCACTGTATATCACACTCGGCCTTCCCCAACGCGCAATGAAACGCCGAATAGCCATGAGAAACGCAGCAGTGGACAACGATGTCACAAGCTCAAAATGTACTGCACGGAAAACCGCACACGTAAACAAACAGATCCATGATTTTTGACCGCCTTTAAGATAAACGGGCCCGGTGAAATCTACACCTATAACTTTGAATACGGCCGCATCTTTTACCCGATCTAAAGGCAATGGGGAACTAATTGTCTCGAGAGGCTTCGCATCATGTCTGCGACAATTTACACACTTCGTAATCACCGATCGAATTACTTTACGACCGCCTATGATCCAATACTCTTCACGCAATGCATTCATCAAAATCTCTATTCCGGCGTGGTTTAAGCTTTCGTGCTTTTCTTTGATAATCAAATTAACAATTCGATGTTTACCGGGAAGTACAATAAAACACTTAAAACTATAAACGTCGTTGCGTAGAACAATTTTCGAATTTAATCGAATTAAATCGTTTTTATGTTTGAACGCGTTGAGATGTTTCACACGTATATCCGTTTCGTCAGTAAAACATTCGGCTTGAATCAATTTTAATAACAGAGTACGTGACGTTTGAATTTCTTTATACAATAGAGCACCCTTAACACGACTCTTTTTGTTTTCTCGGCAATTACAATAAAATCGTCGTACATAAGCAACCACTCTTATCATTTTCTTAAAATCAGAAAATTCATTGAAAAATTTGTTCTCTTTCGCACCATTTCCTTCTAACGCTATGATAGCACAAACAGATTTTTTGTTTACCGTGGTTTTCTTTAATTCTTTACTTATTTCACCTTCATCGAACAATAATTCTCTACGCATTGGCCACTTATCTGACGCCTCATATAGCCACACGGGTCCCTCCCACCATCTCGCAGACATAATCTGTTTCACCGTACAGCCTCTCGATGGTAGGTCTGCGGGATTGAAACGGCCCTGTACATGATGCCAACACGCGGGATCCGATAGCATACGTATTTCTTTTACTCTGTTGTACACAAACGTAGCCCAATTACATTCTCTTTGGATCCATGCTAACACGGTCGAGGAATCGGTCCAATAAAAGAGTTTTAGCGTTTTAAAATTAAGCGCGTCTAATACATTTCTCGCTAATCTAGCGCATATTGTCGCAGCTAACAACTCTAAACGCGTTATGCTAGTTTGCGCATCCAAATTGCCTTTCCTAGCAGGCGCAACTCGCGTTTTCGCTTGTACAAAGTGAACTTTCACACCATCAACATTTTCAACGCGAATGAAAATAACTGTGGCATACGCGACTTTACTGGCATCGCAGAATATATGCAAACTTACGTTATCCGACTCAGAGATTTGTCCTAAAAAACATCGTGTAATTCTAATCTTATCAAGCTCTTTCAAATCTTCCATCCACTTCAAAAATTTAGTTTTTAACTCGTCTGGAACTTCATCATCCCACGTCAAATTTTCATTCTAGGTTTCCTGTAACAGAATTCGTGGACAAAGCATAACAGGACATATAAAACCCAATAGATCAAAAATACGGTGCGCCAACGAAAGAATATTCCTTTTCGTAATTTTCGAATCACGTAACTCTGGAAAAACTGGTACTTTTACTGCTAACGTGTCAGCTTCTTTATCCCAATTAACGCCTAATACTGTCGTCTGGTTGTCATGGGAATTATCATCACTATACTCCCACCCTCGAAGGTCAAAACCAGCTATATTCATCAGTCTTTTTGCGTCTGAGATGAAACTATTCAAACTTTCTCGCGTATTTACACTAGTTACTGAATTGTCAACGTAAAAGCTTTCTAACAATCTTTTAATATTTTCCGTCGAAACGTCGTTATCAGAACTTTTCACCGACTTCGTATAATTATTCAAATGTAAATTGATAATCGTGCTCAAAATAAAAAGACTCGATGAAACTCCAAAAACGACTCTACAATGTCTAAGAACAATTATATTTCCCTCCGCATCGTACCATAAGAAACGCAAGAAATCTCGATCTTTTTTATCGATACTGATTTGTAAAAAAAGCCTTTTTAATGTCCGCTACGACACCGATTTTATTTTCTCTGAAGCGCAGAAGAATAGACGCGATCAATTCTATCAAATTTGGGCCCTTATGTAGGCACTCGTTGAGCGACGGCGACGTCCTCTCTTTGGCTGATGCGTCGAATACTGGTCGAATTCTCGTCGTACTGCCCTCCTTCACCACGTGACGATGAGGTAGATAATAGCCCCAATCATTCTCCTCCTGCACCGGGACACGCTCGATGATCCCCTCAGCAAGCCATTCGCCAAAAACTGCATCATAATCAGCATACAAATCCTCGGCCTTCAATTTCCATACCGTAGACTGCAACCGATACATAGCCGTCTCCTTATTATGTGGCAAAGCAGGGTGATTCGGCAACCACGGCAATTGTATCTCGTATCGCCCCTCTTCGTTAACTCGCACGGTTTTCAGAAAAGCTTCTTGCATCTCGACATCTCTTTCCTTCCGTGTTTTCGTCTTGATTGGATCACGTATTCCCAGAATGTCTAACGACCATATGTCCGCGATCTCGTCTTTGTTTACAAACAGCGATATAGCAGTCATCGCGGCATTCTCCTTTGTTTCGACTTCGGGAACCTTACCCATAACTGTCCAACCAAGATACGTTTCTATTGCGACTAAGCCGTTTTTCAGTACGTGTATACGGCCCGTATACAACTTGCCGGCCACGTCGGCACCGATAAGTACTGAAATCGACTCTCTCTTGCTATGCCGATCACTTACATTGATGTCGAATTTTTTCAGCTTCCGATCCCACTCTCCGATTTTTATTAGCGGTACTCTCTCACAAATCACAGCTTGGTCCAGCGCGACGAAATTACAGCGATAATTATTGTCTCGACTGCTCAAGCAAATCCGATATTTTTTATGTCGCACCGCGTCCGATTTTTGTCCACCGAAAAGGGAGTGTGTCATCGTCTGCTCGGCAATTGGCTCGTAATCTAGGTGCTCAGCCGCTTCCTTGGTGATGTAAGATTTCTGAGATCCGGTATCGATAATTGCGCGAACAATAATTTCCTTGTTTTCATTCCGCAATTTCACACACAACGTTTGCATTAACACTTCCGGATCACTCGAGACGTTTGCCAGATTGCAATCACTATTCGTTTTCTCAGAATCTTTTGGTTTAGAATCAACTTTACTGTCCTTGTCCTTTTTCTCTATTTTAGGGCACATCAGAAGTACATGTCGCATCGAACATTAGCTACAAATCACTTTAATTCGGCACTGTTTAAAATTGTGTCCAGCTTTCAGACAATTAAAACATACGCCCTGTTTTTTCGCGTGCTCTCGTCTTTCAGAGAGGCTCATTTTCCTGGCATTTTCGCAACGCGCACTTTCGTGATTGGAATTGCAAAATATACACGCACTATCTTTTTCTTTCGTCGTCAGCAATCCCATCGCGGTCGAAACATCCTCATTCTTCGCGCGTGTCTTCGATCGTCGCTTTTTCTCACTGTCTGCATTATCCGCCGTTAAATCAAAGCCTTTGACCGCCATA